AGGCAGTCGGTGCGCCAGACTTCAGCCCACCGCGCCCTGGTAACACTGCCGCCCACTGTCGGAATACTACTATAACACAAACTAGTCGCCTTGAAATCACACTTGGATGCATCCGAGCTGGCAAAGCATCAACCAGGGAGGGTACGTCCTGAAAAACAGATCGGTGTACAATTTACTACTAGAATATAGACCATATATACGATATATAAAGTAAACAGTATGGATAGTAATGTACGGGAAAGATGTTCGTGCTGAATGCCAAATGTCCACAAAAAGCAAAATGAAATTGTTTTCAGAGTAATTTGGAACTTTTCCACAAACTGCGGCATCAATTGTTTGCATTGATTTCAAAAATAAAACGAGCAATGACGCAACTGCGGCAGCCTGAATTCGGTAGGGCAGCGCGTACTCGCCTCCTTTCTCATCCTCAAAACCTCTGTCTACGCGCGTATCCAGCGCTGACTCATCCTCTTACCTCTGCGTGTTCTTGTACTTTTGCACCCCCCGCTGTCGACGCGCCTTCGCCCGCGGCTAATCAATTCCTCGCGAACTCTGACGCCAACACCTGCACCCTTTCCTGATTGGCTGAGGACTGGACAAGCTTGGCTAAACCCGCGCGCATAGACACTTTTTCCACTGACTCGGCTGGCTTATGTACGCGGCACTTGCATCAGCTACTGTAAAGCTACTTAAGCTCAGTAAAGTTGTTCCCATTCACTCCGTCTTCCGAGACTTGTGATTTGAGGATCCTTCGGGTGTCGATACAACTGATGACAGTTGGGTTTATCATTGTTACGATATACGGCCACCAAAAGGACTCAATCACACTGCTGGCAGTTCTCTATCAAAGGAAGACTGCAGCTTCAGAGAGGCATATCGCTATAGAAACTACATTCAGTCTTCTCAAGGATGGGTGTATGAGGGCGCATCAGGGGCATATTTTAATGCACAAAATTGCTGGCGCCTTTCACAGAATAAATGCCGTTTGCATCTCCCGTAAAGAACTATAGTGGACGTTAAGGCGAATTGGGACGAGCACTGATCGACGAAAGATCTCGATCATTCTAGGTAGTAGTCCCGATTGCAACCGCCAAGATACCGAATGCGTGACTTAGCCACAGGACGTTGAACTTAAAAACGCTCAATGATTAACATATTCGACTTGAAATCCCCGGTTCTCTACATTTGGCCACTAAGCCAGGGGTGGCCATCCAAGCCTTTGTTCCTTGAATTATTGGGGATTCTTTCCAATAGTTATTCGTACAGGAGTGGTCTCCTCGAAGCCAACAAGTTCCAAGTAAATTTTAGAAATAGATACACAAAAGGAGTACTGGCAAATACAGTGGAGATGGGGGGCGGCCATTCCTGGCTTATTATCCATTGTCGGCTAGGCACATTCAAATCCCGATTTGAATAAGCTTGGAGTTGAACCCAGATTACTTAGTCATTTAGCGCTTTTAACTCCAGCGCCCTACAGTTGCGTCATGGGCCTTTTGGTTTGCGGGTTGTGATCGCGAATAGGTGTTGAATAAGCCTACAGCCCAATTTTGTGGTACTCTTATTGTACGCGTACTGAAACGATTTGAGTAGCCATGATTACGCTGGCTTGCATACTCTTGGGCAATTATGGACAGGTGTTTTTGGGATTTGGTTGGCAGTTTTATACGTAGATATTGGGGGTGTTGGGCTAGGCGTTTCAATTGAGGATTGAGACCAGAGAATTGGGGTTGAGTTTAGAGCTAAGGCAACCTAATAATCCTAATTGTTACTCTAACTGCTAGCCCTATATACTGACCCCAACTGCTAATCCGAACTACTAAGTATATCAACTAACCCTAAATACCATCTCCAACCAACAAGCCTAACTACTAACACAAACTTCTAATCCTAGTAATGGACTCTAACAACTACACCTTATTACTGCCCCTAACTACTAACTATAACTCAAAATCCATAGCTCAAGTCGAAAACCATGTACCAAATTTCCTGACCGAAGCCCTAAAATCGCAGTCCACTGGTGCAAATCCTCAACTCTAATCCCCATTCCGAAACCTCTACATTTAACCGCATACCTCTATTCGCAAAATTATCGAAATCTAAACTCGTACACAAGTCTCCCAAACTCTGCCCATAACTGCCTAAGATAACACAAAAATAAACATGGCTACTCAAACAATTTCAGTAAGCATGTTATAAGGTAACTGCCAAATTACGCTGAAGGACAGTTCGTTATTCCGGCATGTTCCCTATCATGGAGGCGCGTTCACCGAATAGTTTACACTCTCGAAAGCAGTCGTATACTAACTAAC